TGTCAAGCAGCCTCCGGAGAACTTGCTGATCAGTCCTCCCTGCCCCCTAAGATAAGCAATCTTTCTGATGACTCAAAGATAAGCTTGAGCAACCACCAATTTCCTTATCCTGCAACCAGACTCACAGCGCCAGTTCCCCTCATCCTAAGGGATATTCATTAACCCATTGAGACAACACCTTCCCTTCCCCTTCCCCAGCTAATTTCCCGCTTCAGCCCGTATAAGAATCCCCGTGGAAAAATAAACTTTTGCAGCTTGATCAGAGTTCTTTGTCTTGCTGTCATTCTTCGTGTCTCTTGTCCCATCATTCCAGGTCCCTGGGAGTTCGAGTCTCCGTCTCCCGCCCTGCAGGTCGGGGCAGTGGTCAGGGTATTTTGCCACAGCAATGAAGAGACAAACTGACAGTAAGTATATTCACATTGTTGTACATCGACTCTCCAGAGCTTTTCACCTTTCAAAACAGAAACTCTTGCCAAGCACGGTGGCATACACCTTTAATCCCAGCACTCAGACAGAGGCAGGCAGCTCTCTGTGAGATCAAGGCCACTATATAGCAAGTTCCAGGCCATCTGGGGCTACAGAAAGACTGTCTCAAAATAATAACAAAAGAAACCCAGAAACTCTCTGTATCCATTAAGCAAGTTCCCATTTCTCCTTCCCTATAGCCCTAGGTGAAAGTGGTTTAAAATTTTTTAATATTTTATTTTTATTTTGTGTGTATGAATGTGTTGCCTGCATGAGTGTAAGTACACCTGTGTTGTACAGTGCCTGTGGAGGTCAGAAGGCACCAGATCCCCTGGAACTGGAGTTATAGACAGCTGTTAGCCGCCATGTGGGTGCTGGGAACTGAACTGGAGTCCTCTGCAAGAGCAGCCATTGCTCTTAACCACTGAGCCATCTTTCCAGCCCAGTTTTAAAATTTTTTAATGCATATGTATGTGAATGTATATTTTTTGTGTATGGGTTGTACATGCACATGTGTTCAATGGCGTGTGAAGGTTGGAGGACAACCTTGGTATCATCCTCAGTAGCACCATCTACCTCAAGCAGGCATGGTGCCAGGTATTGTTCCCTGGGTTCTGGAGATTGAACTCAGCTCCTCACACTCAAAAGGCAAATGCTATATTGACTGAGCCATCCCTCCAGCTCAGTTTAAAAAAACAAAAACAAACAAAAAACTATGTAGCCCTGGCTGGCCTCAAACTCACAGAGATCCATCTGCCTCTGCCTCCTGAGTGCTGGGACTAAAGCCATGCATCATCCTGTCCAGCACATGTTTTTAATTTTTAATTTTTTTTCACATTTGCTTATTTTCACTTTCCAAATTTCTTTTTAAAAATATTTTATTTATGGGCCAGAAAGATGGCTCAAAGTTTCAGAACACTGGCTGTTCTTGCAGAAGACCTGGTTTCTAATCCCAGCACCCACATGGCAGCTAAAAACTGTCCGTAACTCCAGTTCCAGGGGCTCTGACAGCCTCTTCTGTCCTCTTTGGGCATTGCATGGCATGGGTGCACTTACCTACATGCAGGCAATACACGCATACACATAAAATAAAAATAATGAATTGAAAACATATTTTAATTTGGTCATGGTGGCGCACGCCTACAGTCCCAGCACTTGGGAGGCAGAGGCAGGTGAATCTCTGTGAGTTGAAGGCCAGCCTGGTCTACGTAGTGAGTTCCAGGACAGCTGGGGCTACAGGGAGACCCTGTCTCAAAAAATATTTTTTTATTGTCAGTTTTTGTGTATGCGTGTATTGCCTGCATGTTTCTGAGGGCTCCCATGCTGTTGGAAGAAGGCACTGGATATTCTGGAACTGGAGTCACAGATGGCTGCTAGCCACAATGTGGATGTTGGGAATCAAACCCAGGTCCTCTGTAAGAGCAGCCAGTTCTCTTAACCACTGAGCCATCTCTCCAGCCCCACTTCCCAAATTTCTATAGTGAGCATTTATTATTTGTATTATTGATAACCAACAATGCCTGCAATTGTTATGATTTGTATGTAACCTCCAAAGGCTCCTGTGTTAGAGGCTTGGTTCCCAGTGCAGCCGTGTTGAAAAGTAGGACTTTGGGGACGTTATGACATCATAAGGGCACTAATCTCATCACTGGATGAGTCTATTGATGGAATCTTAGTTTCTGGTATTAGGAAGCAATGAAAACTTCTAGAGGTAAGGCTGATTACAAGAAGTAGGTCACCGTGAGGTGTGCCCTGGGGAAGAAAAGGTATCTTGTCTCTGGTGTCTTTCTGCTTTGTGGTTACCAATAGGTGAGAAACTCTGCTTCACCACAGGCCCAGAAACAATAGAGCCCAGCGACCACACTCTGAAACCCTGATCCAAAAGAAACCTTTTTGTTGTTGTTTTGAAATGGGCTCTCATTCTGTGCCCAGGCTGGCTTCAATCTCATGATCTTCCTGTCCCCACTTCCCAGTCATTGGGATTACAGCTGTGTGCCTCCATGCACAACTCTCTTCCTGCCTTTAAATTGCTTCTCTCAGGTATTTGTCACAGTGATGGAAAAGCAGCTAAGGGTAACCCTGTACTGTCTCCACTCCACAGCTAGGGAACCTAGGAAACTGTGCTGGATAGCCTTGGGTGTCAACTTGACACATCTGGGAAGAGGGAGTCTCAATTGAGGAAATGCTTCCATTGGATTGGCCTGTGGCCATGTCTGTGGGGTATTTTCTTGATTGTTGAATGATGTGGGAGGGCCCAGATCACTGTGGGGGTGGCATCCCTGGGCAGGTGGGCCTGTGTTGTATAAGAAAGCAGGCTGAACAGGGGCCAGGGGAGCAAGCCAGTAAGCAGCATTCCTCCATGGTCTGTGCTCCAGGTTCCTACACCGAGCTCCTGCCTTGGTTTCCCTTGATGATGGACTTTGCTGTTAGCCAAATAAACCCTTTCCTCCCCAAGTTGGTTTTGGTCAATGTTTTTATTACAGCTACTAAAAGCAGACTAGAACAGGAATGAGCTAGCAAGTTGACTGCAGGCAGAACCCAAATAGACACACCCTGGGCCACTGTGCATCTCTCCGCCATGGATGCCACTCCTCTCAAGAGGACAAGACCCAGGAACTCACATCTAGAACGTGTTTCATCCAGTAATTGGGTCCTAACTATGCACCAGGCTGCCCCTAGGAATTCAGGACGGGGTGCATTTTATGAAAGTACTAGTCACTGTCCTTCTATCTTGTCACCTCAGTCCCTGCATGGTCACCACTGACCCTCAGCTGGCCCATGTTTCTTTCTCCAGAGATCCTCTGGTAAACAGGATCTAGTGCAGGTGGTAACTGGGACTGCCAGGCTGTGGTTGGTTTTTGTCAACTTGACACAAAGTATACAGACCTAGGAAAAAGGAATCTCTGTTGAATGCCATTAGACTGGCCCGTGAGCATGTTTGTGGAGCATTTTCTTAATTGCTAATTAATGAAGGCGGTCCATCCCACAGTGGGACATTCCCTGGGCAGGTGGGCCTGGGTTGTATAAGAAAGATAGCTGGAGGCTGGAGAGATGGCTCAGTGGTTAAGAGCACTGGCTGCTCTTGCAGAGGACCCAGGTTCAATTCCTAGCACCCACATGGTGGTTAACAAACCATTCGAAACTCCAGTACCAGAGGATCCAGTGTCCTCTTCTGACCTCTGAGGACATTGCGTGACATGGGTACATCTACCTACATGCAAGCAATACACTCATAAAATAAAAAGTAATAAAAACAGGAAAGTCAAGGGAGAGCAAGGCAGTAAGCAGCATTCCTCCATGGTCTTGACTTCAGTTCCTGCCTCCAGGTTCCTGTCTCGAGTTCATGCCTTGTCTTCCTTCAGTGACAGACCGTGAGCTAGAAGCCAAATAAAGCCTTTCCTGCCCAAGCTGGTTTTGCTCAGGGTTTTATCCCAGCTCTAGAAAAGCAAACTGAGACACAGGCCATCCTGTCTGCAGGTGAGGAGGGCAGGAAGCAGAAGGAACACTCTAGACACTTGTTGGTTGCATCTGTTTCAGGATAAGGCAAGGACCTGCCCTGGATAGCTTGGAACAGGGCGGGCATATGGAGGACAGAGGGGAAGCAGGGAGTGGTACAGATAGAGTAATGACAGCCCTGTTAGTCCGAAGGCATTGGTTGGCTTCATTATGTACACACAGAAGAAAACATAGCACCTAAGGGTGATGCTGGACTGTCAGGGCACCTTTCATTTTCCAAACAAGGAACCAAAGCCTAGAAAGATGGGGTGATTTGCTTGATGCCACAAGGCAAGGTGGTGACAGAAGGGCTGAGATTAGATTTGAATCGGGTCCCTGGGAACCTTTGTCACGTGGCAGCTCCATCAGGCCCAGATCTCAGTACAGAATGGGAGCCAGGAAGGGTGAGAGGAGGGTTAGGGTCATACCAGAACTAGAGAGGGACAGATGGGCCAGAACCTGTGAAGACTCAAAAGTTACCAGAAAGAGAGCTAGGGCCTAGGGCAAACATGCTAGAACTTGAGAGGAAGGACATCCTGGGGGGATGGGTTACTGAGCCCCAGCTCACTGTGAGGGATCTGTGGAGAGGGGTTTAGCGAGGGTCTGGGATCTGGAGGGACGGGCAGCACAGGGCATGGTGCCTGGCTCATGGGGCCTCAGTAATTGGGGTTCAATGCTCTCTTTCTTGCAGTTTTCCTCAGTTCTCAAATATGTGGGCAGGGCAGGAGTCACTGGGGTGCTGGTCAGAGTTTCCAAGCTGAATTTGGGGCAGGTCGTTCTCAAAGAGGAAGGTAGGGGTAGCTCGGCAGACGGTGAGTTGCCTCGAGGCTGCAGTCAGGAGGGGTCTGTCTCTTGCTTCCATTCTGCCCCATTCTCAGCGAGGGGCCCAGCCCTGCTGCCCCGGGAGCCTAAGTCATACAGGGTGCTGCCGGTGGTCAGCCTGCTGAGGCTGTAGGAGCTACGGCAGGGTTGGTGGTGGCATCGGCACCGGGTTCCAAGGCCCAGCGCTTGCTGGAAGGTCTCCCTGAAGCGACTGGACATGAGGCTGTACAGCACAGGGTTGGCTGCCGAGCTGAGGTAGAAGAAGACACCGGAGACAATGTGCACGTACTGGAAGGTCACCTGCAGGCCCTCTGTCCATTGGGACACGAAGCTCCACATGAGGCGGTCAATATGGAACGGAGCCCAGCAGATGCCGAACACAACGACCAGCACAACTGCAAGAACAGAGAGGGGAGGCCTGGCTGGCAGCGAGACTACTGCTTCCCATGGGCTTCCACTTCTGTCACTCTCCCCTCCGCACACCTCACAGGCCACTGAAGCCCAGCATCCATCCACAGGTTTCTGGAAATTCAACTGTCCTGGCCATACTGCTTTGAAGGATGGTGTCCTCTGTGGCTCTGACTAGGCAGGAGGTCATTTAGCCAGCTTCTGGCCACAGGTATGGACACTTGCACCCACCTGGCCCAATCAGATGCTTTCCTATGGAATTTGTAACAGAAGAATTCAGTGGTGGCTGCTAAATTGCTAGTGTGACTGTGGAGCTGAGGCCCCTCTGGGTTGTGTGTCCTGTCGTGCCTCCCCCCCAAGAACAGAGAAACAGCACAGAATGGGTTAAGTGCTGAGAGAGCCAAAGACAGTGAGTGCTCTCTCTCTCTCTCTCTCTCTCCCTCTCTCTCTCTCTCTCTCTCTCACACACACACACACAGAGGCACACACAGACACACACAGCCTTTCCAAGCATACCCCACCCCAACTCCTCAAATCAAGCTGAATATATGGCCCTGTACTAAATCCCTTTCCATCCCTTCTATGTCCCCTCCCTAGCAAAAGATAGGACAGCCTGGCAAGCCCTCACTTCTGCTCTGGTCTTTTATTTAGAGGGGGGTGTCTTACTATAGAGCAGTGAATGTCCTAGAACTCTCTATGTTCACTGGTTGGCTGGCCTCACACTCTCAGAGATTCACCTGTCTCTGCCTTCAAGTGCCAGGGATTACAGATGTGATCTACTACACCTGCTTATTCAGTTTCAGTTTTTATTTTTATTATTTTGGTTTTAAGAAAGAAGTAACGGGCATGGTAGCACATGCCTTTGATCCCAGCACTCGGGGGCAGAAGCAGGTGGATCTCTGTGAGTTCAAGGCCAGCCTGGTCTACATAGTGAGTTCCAGGCCAGCTGGGGCTACAGGGAGACCCTGTCTCAAAAAAAAAAAAAACAAAGGAAGTAGTCCAGCTGTCCCAAATTTACCAGTAGTTGGAGCTCCTGATCCTCAAGCTTCTATCCCCCAGGGGCTGAGATTACAAGGGTGGGCCACCATGCCCAGCTTGCCCCGTCCTGAGCTTACCCCCAGTTCTCTTCCTGGAGCCTCTGCCACCCAGGTCCACCTTGATTTGCATGTTTAATGTTTGTTTCTCCAGCTCACTCTCCTCCCCTCCCAGGGCCTTCCCATCCTTCCTATTGCATGGTTTTCCTCACCATCCAGGTGGTAGTGTAAGCAATGACCCCAGCATACTGCCCGTGTACAGCAGATCCTTAGAAAGTGGACAAAGCGGTGGGAAGAGATCAGCAGATCCCAGACTAACAAGCAAGCATTCTACCTTGCCAGGGTGAGGGTCCTAGCTGAGCCTCCTGCACATTTGGATGGGGCTGGGGGGCAAGAGCAGAGAACGAGAATCAGCACTTTTTAAAATCCTAGCACTTGGGAGGCCGAGGCAGGCGGATCTGTGAGTTCTAGGCCAATCTGGTCTACATACTGAGTTCCACATCAGCTAGAGCTACAGAGTGAGACCCTGTCTCAAAAAAAACAAAACAAAACAAAAAAGGAGTAGGGAACGGGAGGACAAGAAGGGGCATTCTGTGGGGTAGCTTCATTCACCTCAGAACCTGGAGGCAAGAGCAGAATTTAGGCCAGGCCCATTTCAGGGGACTGCATAAAAGACCCCAGTATCTGAAGGGAAGAGGAATGTGTCTTTCCCTAAAGGATGGGCTGTTTCCAGTAGTCTGGCAATGACCAAGGTGTCAGCAATTTGTCTAGCCTTGGCTTACCCCATCCTAGCCTGATTTAGGCCCAACCCAGGACAGGTGTGGTACTGAGCTGGGTGCAGGGAGGGATTCAGTTAGCTGGATGTCATCTGGCCTCCCTCCCCCAGGTCTATAGCTTTTAAAGACAGGCTCTGTAAGGATAGAATCCAAAGCCTAGACCCAGCAGGTCATGGCCTGCCTCCTCAACCCTCACTTCTGTCCTGGCTCCTGTGTTATGTTCATTTACCCTTACAAATACACCTCCTGACACCGTGCAAACAAATGGTCTCTCCCAAGGGCCTCAGCCGATATAGCCATGGCACAGAGGAAATTCACCTATCATCACTCTCACATCCTCCTCCTTGGTAGGGGAATTTGCTTCCCAGATCCATGTGGCTCCAGAGAGGCTGTGTATCTTGATATCCGGCCACTCAGGCAGCAACATAAGCCCCACCAATCAGAACTCTTCCTTTGGACTTTCTAATAGCCAAATAGCCACATGGCTTCCCCTTGTGGGCTGTGTGGGGAAGAACAGAACCCAGCCTTGTTCAAAAGCAAAGATGAACATCATAGAGGTCCAGATCCATCTTTGTGTGTGTGCACCCTGTACACTTGCCCAGGATACCAAGCTTAGGTCCCCAGGTGTGATTTTTTTTTTTTTTTTTGAGACAGGGTCTCACTATATAGCCCTGGCTAGCCTGGCCCCAGACTCACAAATATCTACCTGCCTCTGCCTCCCAAATGCTGGGATTAAAGGCATGTACCACCGTGCCCCACAGAAAAAAAAATTTGAGGGACTGGACAGATGGCTCAGCGGTTAAGAACACTGGCTGTTCTTGCAGAAGACCGGGGTTCGAATTCTAGCACCCACATGACAGCTAACAACTGTCCATAACTCTAGTTCCAAGGAAATCTGATGCCCTCTTCTGTCCTCTGAGGGTACTGCACAACACGGGTGCACTTGCACGCATGTAGGCAATACACTGGTACACATAAAATAAAAATAAGTCAAAAAAAAAGAAAAAAAGTGTTTTTTAAAAAATTGTTAAACAAGACCTGATATAGGCCACACTGACCCAACCAAGGGTGATCTTGAACTTTTGATCCTCCTACCACCACCTTCTGAGTGTTGGAATTACAGTTATGTACCACCAGCCCAATTTATCTGGTGCTTGGGATTGAACCCAGGACTTCATGCATGCTAGGCAAGCACTCTACCAATTGTCAACCCATGCTTGACAATTTTTTTTAACAAGGAACCCTGAATTTCCATTTTGCACTGACCCTACAAATTATTCAGTAAGCCCTACTATGAGCCATTAAAGTCAGTCTTTGATAGATGTTTCTAGCAGGGTAATTTAAAAGAGTCCAATGAATGTAGGTAGGGTTGGGTGTACTCACTCACAGGGATGAAGGAAGTCTTATGTACCACATCTAGCCTCCAGAAAGCCAGAAGCTCAGCTCCCTCCCTAGGCCCTGGAAGGCTCATCCCCTTCCCCAGCAGACACTTACATAGCATCTTGGTCACCTGTCTCCTTCCTCTATCCCGCAGCTGAGTCCTTCTGGTCTCACTGGTCCTGGCTGCTGCAGTGTTCCTGCTGTTGACCTCCTGTTGGAGAAGCAGCATCCTCTCCTGCCTCAACCTCAGACCAATGAGCAAGTACAGCACACTGATGGTGGCCATGGGCAGGCAGAAGAAGAGCAGTGTGGTGGCCTGCACCACCAGGTTGTAGAGGACCAGGGGACGGACCAATGTACAAATAGCTGAGTTAGGCACTAGACCCCGGCAGGGCACATACAGCTGCTGGAGGCCATGCAGGCTGGTGTTGGGCAGAGAGAAGAGCACAGCAAGGATCCAGATGGCCCCCAGCATGCGTCGCACATGGGCCCGTGTCATCACAGACCTGGCTTGCAGTGGATGCACCACAGCCACGTAGCGCTCCACACTCAGGGCTGTGACATTGAGCACTGAAGCTAGGCAGACAGTCTCAAAGAGCAACGTGCGGAAGTAGCAGCCACCTGCACCCAGCTGGAAGGGGTAATTGTGCTGCATCTCATAGAGCTCCAGGGGCAGGCCCACCAGCAGCACCAGCAGGTCAGACACAGCAAGGCTGAAGAGGTAGAAGTTGGTGGGCGTGTGCATGGCCCTGTGGCGCAAGATGACCATGCAGGTCAGCCCATTGCCCACAGTGCCCACCATAAAGATCAGCAGGTATATGGCACAGATGGGCACGAACAGCTGTGTCTGCTGTGGCCCCAGGTACTTCAGCCTCAGGGCCTCATCAGTTAGGTTCAAGTCCTCAGGGTCAAATTGTTCCCTGACCTCAGTGCTGTTGCAGGACATGGGGTTCCTTACATCCCCTGGGAACAGGGCTCCAGGGAGGATGGAGCAATTGAGGCAGGAAGGAATCTGTGGAATAAAGGGAAGAGATGCTCAGCTGTCATTTAGGGAATCCAAGCTCTGTCCTCAGTCACCACACTGAGGGTGCCATTGCTAAGAGGACTGACTTTACTCATGTTGTAATACATGATGCACTGAGGAATGCCACATAGGGATAAGAGTCCTTTATTAATAGCCAGTGGCCAGAGAGGGGGTTAATGCCCCAAAGAACTCTCAATCCTGAGGAGAAGCAGGGCAGGGTTTATAAAGCTTAAAACCACAATTACATCATGCCAGGGGCAAAGCCAATAACCATAGTTACATCAGATCACCTTAGTTACACTAGACCAGGGGCAGGTCAGTTAAAGAGATTTTTCAGTTAACAGGTTTCAGTTAGGCTGGGTGAGAGGATGTGCTATCTGGACATGCTACCTGGCTACTTGTAAGTTTCCCAGTATTGTAGAAAGAATGCACTCCCTGAAACTGCCTGCATGAGATGTTCTGCCTGGCTGACTGCAGTGGGAATGGCTGGGCAAAAACACAGGGTAAAGCAAAAGTCAGCTAGAGCAAAATGGAGTGAGTATTGCCATTTCAATGTGCCACCAAGAAAGAAAAACACCTGTCGTCCACTGTAAAGTACATTACAATTGAAGAGTAGTAAAAGTACACATTAAAAATATATATGAGGGCTAGAGAGATGTTTCAGGAGTTAAGAGCACTGACTGGTCTTGCAGAGAACCCAGGTTTGATTCCCAGCACCCACATCATGGGTAACAATTGTCCATAACTTGCCAGTTCCAGGGGATTCAATTACCTCTTCTGATCTCTGTGTGCATTGCACAACGTGGGTGTACTTGTATATATGCAGGAAATACACTCACACACATAAAATAAAAATAATAAAATATTTTTAAAATGTATATGTATATGTACACAAGTATAAGTGCCATCAGGTCAGCAGAAGGCATTGGATCCCCTGGAGCAGGAGTCACAGGCAGTTGTGAGCTGCCCCACATGGATGCTGGGAATGTAACTGGTACTGTATAACAGCAGCAAGTGTTCTTAACTCCTGAAACATTTCTCCAGATCTCCAAGGTGCAGATTATATATATATATATATATTTGGTCTTTTTGAGACAAGTTCTCCCTGTAGCCCCAGCTGGCCTGGAACTCACTATGTAGACCAGGCTGGCCTCAAACTCACAGAGATCCACCTGCCTCTGCCTCCTGAGTGCTGGGATTAAAGGCATGCACCACCACGCCCAGTCAAAGTGCACATCTTAAATGATAAAATGAGACAGTAAGATGGCTCAGCAGATAAATGTGCTTGCGGTTAAGTCTGATGACCTGAGTCTGATCCCTGGGACCAACGTGGAAGAAAACACCTGACTCCCACAAGTTATCCTCTGACTGCCCCATGCATGCCATTGGTGTGTGTGCCACACAGATACACATACACACACATATAAATAAATGTAATAAAAGTAATTTATGATAAAATTGGTCCTTTGCTTTAAATTTCATGATCTATTGAATCCTTTGAATAAATGACAGGCCCTCCCACACACAGGCTTGGCTTTCAGGAATGCCCCTTGGGTGTCTCCTTTTCAAAATGGACTTCAGGAGGGGCACTCAGTGTGGGCATCTGGAGTGGGTACAAATGGCAGTATTGCCCAGTCTTTAAGAGCCATGGTCCTGAAAGCAACTGCCAGGGTGCAGACCTAACCTCTCCCACTCCAGGTGGAAGGTTCAGGAATTTAATTTACAAAAAGCACTGGCACAGGGCAGACCTGACATGCAGAAAGCTGTGGTGACCTTGGCCTGGAGATGAAGCCACGGTGGGGGTCAAATGAGGGAGGTAAAAAAGCTAAAACTATGTTTGACCCAAAAAGTTGATTCTGTTTTCTATCGACCGATGCGGTCCAAGTCTAAATATTTGACACTGTAGACACTACCACCCCTGGGGCTCCCGCTTAAGGTTGCTCCTGGCCACCCTCACCCCCAGGAACAGAAGCTGGGAAGGGGTTCGAGAGAGATGCTCCACGCCTGGAGCAACGGTTGCCGCAGCGACTGTGATCGGGAAAAATCGCAGAAATAGAGCCTGGCGGACCCCGGTGTCCCACGGAGCCCTCCCACCCATCTGACCCTGGGAGCTGCACCCGTCGGTGCGCATGCCCTGGCCAGAGACTGCATCCCGCTCACCTACCATGCTGTCTGCAGCCCGAAGTCCTGGTGGCATTCAGGCTCTGACGGACCGACGGATGCTGCGCTGCAAGGCCACGGAAAGCGCCCGCCGCCCCCTCCCAAACCGCCCAGCCGCCCCGCCGCCCCGCCGCCCCGCCTGTCATCCGCAACATCGCCGCCAGGGGTCAGTGGTGCCCCCCGGAGCTCGGGATGCTCATGTCCATCATCGCAGACCCCACACACATCCAAACCACAGTGGCTGTTTGACCCACCGGGAGCTGGGAGAGCCAAGCCTTCACCAAAACACATTCTACAGATGAGAAAAGTGAGCACCAGGAAGGACGTCCAAGTGACCTGGGTCTCATGCGCTGTCCCCACCCTCCTGCGAGTGTGCTGGCTTTAGCATAACTCTGCCTCTGTGCCCCCCATTTCCTTCTGCCCCCATGTTTTCAGACACACCTCAACACTCAACACCTTCAGTCCCTGGAAGTCAGGCATGCTGGGACCTACTTCACTCCCAGACTCACGATAGCAATCCCCATCCCCCAACCACAGCTTTCCCTAGGGGTTTCTAGTCCCTTAATCAAGGTGCTGGTACCCCTCCAGCCCCCTTCCCCCACAGGGGTCCTCTTCCTGAGCCTTGGTGGAATGCACATCCTCCCCCTAAGGAACACACAGGAATCTAATCTGGTATCAGACCCCTCACACACCACCTGCCTCTCTTTTCCCACTGTTCCGTTGCCCTCCTTTCTCATCCACTCCGATGGCCACTTTGCCCCTACCCCAAGCAAGGCCTGCCTTCCTAAGAACTCCACATGTAAATAGTTTCTGTATAGGGAGATTGTGGGAACCTCTGGGGCACTTTGTTCCCCAGGCTGGCAGGAGAAAAGATTATGACAGACAACTTCTCAGTTCCAGATGGACCAACTAGGACCAAACCTTCAGGAGATAAGGATGCTGCCAGCAGAGATAAGTGAGAAGGCTCAGCACCACCCAGAAACAACCCAGCATGCCTCACAGTGTGCGAGGAACACTTCTGACTCTGCTCCCATCACTAGAACACACACACACACACACACACACACACACACACACACACACCATGTTGCACATACCCTGCAGTGGACCCTTTGCAGGTACACAGAGCCCAGAAAGGATGGGGAAGGACAAGTCTCTGAAGACGACTGATACAGTTGACAGAGTTCACAGCCATCAAAAGACCATGTCAGGCTAAAGGGCAGCCCCCAATAGGAGAGGACCTGCCAACCATCTCCATGGTTGTAGCTCCCACTCTTGCACTGCCCTGAGGACCCCGAGAGCCCTGGCCTGGGCCTGAACTTGAGAATAAATGGCAGCATGTCCCATCAGAACTGGTGACAGCTGCCCCTACCTGCTCTGTCCTGAGGTGGCTTACCTGGGTTTTGTGGGTATATATAGCCGTTTCCTGGGCATGGTGTGTTGGCCTCAGCCTAGGCCAGGGTCTAGACTGCAGGACAGCAGATATGCCAAATCCTGGGGCATGGGCGGGGCTCCTGGGCCTAGGTGAGTGCACTTCTCACTTCTCCCTTTCCTAATGACCTCCTGAGACCCTTAGGATCTGCTGCCTCCACTCAGGTCCAAATCAGAACCCACCTCCTCAGTCTAAGGCTGGCCAGCAGCCTGGATCTCCTGTTCGCCTCACCCACTTTCCTGCCTACAGATATGAGATTGGGGACTAGAGGGAAAGTCTGCTCTGCACCCTAGCCACTGAGACAGCCCAGAAGCTCTTCTTATCTGGTTCATGAAGGAAACAGAGGGCTGGCAGCCACCACTTTCCATCTGGGCCCACCTGGGCACCTCCCTAGTCAGCCTTCTCTGCCTGGCTCCACTCTGGTCCTGCACCAGACCATGGCCAATGGGGTTTGTACCTCAGTGAGATGCATGTCTGACCCAAACACATCCATAATCCCTGAGCCCCCAGGACTGGTTGTACTCACAGAAACCCACCCACACCCTAGAAGAGGCTGGCAGAGGAAGGCAGGGCATGTACCCGTTACAACCTTAGAATCTATGAGACCTAGAAGTCCTTATTCCACCATCAAGCTGGCTACGTGACTTTCGTTAAGTCCTTTCCCACTCCAGGCCCAGCTTCCTGATCAGTAAAATGGCAAAACCAGTGTGAGTTTCTCAGGGACCCAGTGAGGGCCTACGTAAGACCATGGAGCTAAAGCTCTTGTACGGTTGCATATTTGACAAACAGTGGACTGCTCAAAATTCCCAGACGATTCCAGAAGCCTTCTGGGAGTGAGGGTTTCGTGGGAGCTGCACTTGACAGGATCTGGAAGGACAAGGTCCCCAGACTGGGGCAGAAGGCTGAGCCCCAGGGGAAAGAAAGAAAATCTAGATGTGAGGGAGCCTGCAGCTAGGTGGCGGGGTCCTTCAGTTGAGGAGACCTCCAGGGATTATCACCCCTGACTTTTCTAAAGATGGAGAGGAACACTGGGACTGTCACCCAAGACCTATGAGGCCTGTTCCTGGGTTCTTCCAGAACTGGGGGCCAGGGAGTCTGTCACCTCTACCTCCCGGGGCTCAGTGTGTGCATTGGCCTCAATCTCACTTGACGTGGAAGGAAGGACATGTTTGGGTCTCACAAGCAGAAAATGCCTGGGTCTCTCTGATCCTGGGACTGCATCTCATGCCACTCTGGGACGGGGGCCAGCTCTGGGTGCCCTTAGGGTTCTCCTGCTACCTGGGTAGTAGAGGCCACCCACATGCCCACGCAGTCTTTCTAGCCAATTGACCACATGCATATGTGTCCTGGAAACCCCTTATGGGTCTTCCTATTCACGAGTAAGTACTCAAAGTAATGATCCAAGTGAGACTTTGACAAAAGCCTGCTCCTCGGCTGGTGATCAGACTTCAGGATCTTTTTTTTTTTTTTTAATTAGTCGCTTTTGATTTGCCTGGAGAAAATGAATACTCATCTTTATCTAAGTCCACAGCTTAGAATTTTGTTTTCTTTTACAACTTTTCATATTGGCATTTTATAAAAAGTCAGGTCCTGCCTCTGAACTCTTGTTACGTGAGGTAGGTGTGTGTGTGTGTATAACTTCCGACCTTTTGAAATGGAATAGAACAGTTCCCCCACCTGATGTGCTCCAACCCCTGGCAGACAGCCCAGGACCAAGCAGCCAGAACCCGCTCACTGGCTCAAGGTATCATCAGAGTCACCCACCCCAGAGAGAGTAGTGGGTGGGTAGGTGGATCATGGGTCCACCAGATATTCTTGGTCACTTTTTTTTTTCAAGCTAGCTAAATTTGGGATGGAGGGTGGTGGGTGGTGGGGAGATGCACTTATCCTGACAGGCTTGTGAAGTTCACAAAACCATTTTGCGCAAATGCTCAGTAAATGCCCTGGAGAATACAAATCCTTAAGGAACACAGGAGATTCCAGATGTTCAAACCCAGGAGCCATTCAAAATGCTACTGGGGAGCCACACTGAAGAACCAGAACCTTGAACCCTTTCTTGGTCCATTTGAACCCACTGAAGGCACAATAGTAGATCCACAGGCAGCCTGTTCCCAAGTACAGACTGCCAGTTACCCCACCTAGCTTCCCTGAGAAGGCAGGTCATGTAGAATTAATTTTTAAAAATATTTTATTTATTATTTTTATTTTATGTGGATGTGTGTATTGCCTGCAAGAGGCTGTTGGATCCCCTGTTAGCTTCCAGCTGGGGTTCGAATCCGAATCTTCTGCAAGAACAACCAGTGTTCTTAACCGCTAAGCCATCTCTCTAGCCCCTGTGTAGAATTAATTTTGGGGAAAGGATTGTTTTGTTTTTATTCTATTTATTTTTATTTTTTATTTTTTTGGTCTTTTTGAGACAGGGTCTCCCTGTAGCCCCAGCTGGCCTGGAACTCACTATGTAGACCAGGCTGGCCTTGAACTCACAGAGATCCGCCTGCCTCTGCCTTCTGTTTTTATTTTTGATACATGGTCTCATGGAGCCCAGGGTAACCCCCAGTTCACTATGCATCCAAAGATGTGCACCACCAAAGGGTGTGCCACCACGCCCAGTTCATATGGTACTGGGGATCAGAACCATGGCTTTGTTCTTCCTAGGCAAGCACTCTACCAACTGAGCTACACCCTGAGCCTGGAACTGGTTTTGAAGAGGGGAAAGCTAAAAAAGGCATGGTGGTAGATGCCTGTAATCCCAGCGCTCAGGAGGTTGCTAAAGTGCTAAAGATAAGATTTGAATTTAATGTTTATTTGCTTAAAGGGCTCCCTGCCTCTCCAGTTCTGATTCTATAGTTTCCCATTTTAAAAATATTTTATTTATTGTTTTTATTTTATGTGTATGAGTGTATTGCATACATGCATATATGTGCAACCCATGTCCTGAAATGCTGGCAGAGGTCAGAAGAGGACATCAGATTCCCTGGAACTGAAGTTAGGACCATTGTTAGCTGCCATGTGGGTGTTGGGATTCGAACCCAGGTCCTCTGCAAGAGCAGCCAGGGCTCTTAACCACTGGGCCATCTCTCCAGCCCTGAGTTTCCCATTTTCAGAGTGTCAATTCTTACTTCTTTCTTTCCTTTCTTTTTTTTCTTTTGTTCTTTTAATTCTGTCTTGTCTTTTTCTTTTTTTTTTTTTTTTTCAGTGCCAGTGACTGAACCCAGAGCCTTGGGCTTGCGGATGCACCCTATCACTGACCTAAATCTCCAAATTCCCTTTTCAGTCTTTTGAGATTGGGTCTCATTGTATACACCAGGCTGGCCTTGAATTTAAGATCCTCCTGCCTCTGCTTCCCAAGGACTAGAATGATAGGCATGAGCCAACACACCTGGCAAATTTCAAGAGCCCACAGAGAGAGAGAGAGAGAGAGAGAGAGAGAGAGAGAGAAAGAAAGAAAGAAA